ATGAATAAGTAGATGTATGTCACTTAGGTAGTAAGAAAATGTTCAAACTATAGTTTACTGTTTTTTCTAATGTTAGAAATTCGGAGACAAAAAAGGCTTGATAAACATGAATTGCACGGATTACACAATGTTTATATAGGATTTAATAATCTACAATAAATAAAATACTATTGCATCCATTGGAACCAATCGAGAAACTTAATATAAAATGCAATAGAATTTAACTAGTAACTCACTGTCTCTGCTAGACGGCTTTTAAAATACAGTGATCACAGTGAATATTGTTTGCAATTGAGGGTTTTTTTGTAATTGAAGCGGTAGTGTACGTGTTTGGCCAAAAAAAAATAGTAATGAATTGCACATTTTATCATTTAAAATGATAAATATTGTCGGAACCACTTTTAGAATGATGATCTAGTTTATATTAAGAATCAATGCTTCTTTTTGTACTTAAAGTTTTTATTCTCTTATATCCTGAATAATAGTCAGTTTAATAAAACTTAACGAAAGTTACTTAAAAAAGTGTATTGGTTAATACAGATATGCTTTTCAAAGTCGATTTAGATTTTAGTAATTTTGGATGAAGATATTTATCTGGATACAATTAGATTAATTAGAAAAATTCAATTGGATTAAATTTGTTTTATTAGTCATGATTGTTGTTTAGATATCAACAATTAACTTTTTTTTAAGCTAAAATACTTAGAAAGACATACTTTTAATTTTTTAATTTGAATAAGTTTAAATGGTAATAATATTCACCATTTAGCAGGCGTATTAAGAGTAGCTCTTCCAGATTATTTGCGAACGGGACGAGAATGACATATATAGTAGATTCCCTTTCAGAGATGAGCTGTATCTACCTGGTTCGCAGTCCATCGTTGTTCACCTCCAGTCTGTGAATCGTAAACTATAGGATCTCCTCTGAGAACAATCTACACTTCATTTTTAAGTGAGTATGAACGCCTGTGACACATGTATTTTGTTTTCAACCCTTCATAATACGTTGCGTTTATAGTGGATTAAAATTTTTTTATTTTAATTAGTAATAAACTTTTTTATATTCATTATAATTATAACTTCAAAAATTATTTAAATTTTAAATTTAAAAAATATTTAAATTTAATTTCTTTAAAATAATACAATATTCAATTACCTAAAAATATGTTATTTAAATAGTTTGAGATATTAAATTAAAATTTAGCAAAATAAATTATTAAATTTCTAGGATAGATGCGACCTGCTTTTATTTATATAAATATATGTATACATATTTTGCATTCATAGTAACTACTGAAGTAAAATTGTGTAATTTATTATTTCAGCCTATAAGTGTAATCTTAAATGTTAAATGGAAGATAAAACTTTCTTAAACAAAATTTTTTTTAAATAGTCTCTCTTTTTATGATATTGCTGATTTTATAGTTTTATAACTACAATTACTATTTATTCAGAAGATATAACTGAAAAAAGTGTTGTGCTGTTTATAAAAGATGTTACTGATGATTAAATCTAAATATGTTTATTCTGAAGATCGTTTCAACGTAAGTGTAAATCATGTATTAAATAAAAATTATTTTTAAATTATTAGGGAAATCCCATAAATTATTAAAAATTTATTATATACAAATTATAAACAATAATAAGCATAGTATAATAATATTAACCCAGAAACTAAAAAATTTAAAGCACATTTTTTTTACATATTACATATTAGATGTTTTATATATAATAAGGTATACACATTTAAGCCAAAAATTTATAATATTATTACTTCAAAATTAGATTAATTGCAATTTTCAACTTTTGAATAATTTAAATAATGTAAATAAAACTTATGAAAACGTTAAAAACATTTAATAATAATCCAAAAAAGTAGTATGTTTTATTTAAAAAAATTCAATAACTAATTAAATAAATTAAATAGCTATTAAACGTACTAATAAAATATTATATCACTATAAGTATAAATAATATAATACTGGACCGTACTAATTATCTTCTAAGTGTTATAAAGCATTTAAAATAAAATAAAATATTTATTTTGTATAAAAAAAAAATTTTCATATATCAAAGCATTTTTCAAACAATGTATATTATATCAAATACTATTATAGTATTTAATATTAATCATTAAATAATTTTTTTATTATAAATATTCACATATTCAAGTGGGTATGTAAATTTTATTTTTCATTTAAGTTTTTAAATAGTATATATTTATATATTTTTAAATAAATATACATATGGTTTTTATTTTTATGACTATTATAGTTGTTTTTTTATTACCCCACATAAATTTTAATCTTAAAATAAAACCAGTCTATTAATAATATAAATGGTAATGTATTTATTTGGCTGTTTTTCAGGTGTATTATAATAATTTCAATTAAATTATCAATATCTAAAACTCACTAATATTTTAACTTTCAACCAAACTAATATTTTAAATAAACAGATATTATTTTATAGTTTATATTTAAGGTAAATATTACTTAATTAAATATATTAAAAACAGCATTAAGCTAGAATAATAAAAATGCCTTAAACTGTATATTTATATAAGTCTTTAAATAAAACACCCAAAAGAAAGTCAATCTTGATAATTATTATCAATAAAAAAAAAGAAAATGATTAGTTTTTTAATAAAAAACATTGTGCAGTTCCTAATATAGAAAATATATTAAATATAATAATTTATATGTAACAAGACAGCTGAGAAATATTAAATGGAAGTCAATTTATTAAAATAAATTATAAAGATGAAAAGATATTTAAAAAAAATAATAAATAAAAATATTAGTTTAACTATTTTGCATATATGAAAATGTCCACAATTTCTTCAGAATTTCATGATTGGCATACAAGATAAGAGAAACATTACTTATGAGAAATAAGCAACAGTAATGAAATTAATTATAAGCACAAAGATAGTCTATGATATTTTAATATGTAATAATGGAATATTTAAAAAAATATTGCCTTCATCTGATATTTAAAAATACTGTAATATCTAAGTCATAAAATGCAAAAAACAGTAAGCAGTATACAATTCCAGTATGAAATATAAAACATTAAAATTCAGTTATTCATTAAGTGTACATTACATATAAGTGTTACATTAATTTCAGTCAAAAGAAACGATAGTATATATATGATGGAAAAGAAATTGCATTGATCTTGTATACTGTTTTTTTTTTTTAAGGAAAAAGCTTTAGAACATCAATGATAACATTTAAATAGTACTGAAAATGTAATTTTTTTTTAATAATAATATAGAATGTGCTCATTAAATTTTTAATTTAAAAATATTGTTATTAATTTCTTGTAGTTTCAAATAATAGACACGATACAATATAAAAAATATTGCATTAATTCATTTAAGTGTAAAATAAATATAAAATAAATTCAAGAAATATTAAAATTAAAATAAATTGATTTTATAAAAAATATAAGTCAAATACGTAAATAGTTTAAGGATACAATAATTATGATACAATTACTACAATTAGATTAACTCATTAAATATAATCCATATATTTGTATGTATAAACATATATTGTATTCATCAAAAAATTATTTAAATATGGAAAATACGTAATGTTCATATGTTGATTTGCTGTCACTTTTTAAATTATCACTAAACCACATGTTTCCTCATATTTCCATAAATTCCATATGGACATGACAATTACTCTCAACTACTTTATCAGCTTATAATCACCGCGTGATTAACAAAACCAGTTTGTTTGTACACGAAATCCATTGGACTTTTTTAAAGTTTTTTTCTATTCTTGATGGAAAAATCTGATATCTTGCTGCCATCTTATTAAAATCTAAGTTTTTTTTTGTTGACTTTAGAAATATTATTTATCACAATATATATAATTGTCTACATACATAAGGGCACATAAAGAATATATTATGTGGTATAATCGTCGTATTTTATTTCTGTTTTCTGTCCAATTTTTTGAATAATAAACATTACTCTTATTTATAGGTTTGCCAAACAAGGAACATATGGCCAGGAAGTACTTATTGGCGTATTATGTAATTAGAACTGGCAACATTTTATATTTATTTTTATACAATTTATATTAATAACTATATAAACAAATAAATTTGATAAATTAATCTGAAAACATAATTTATAAAATGAAAAATTTATTATTATTATTAAATGAACTCTTACATTGAATTTTATAAAGTTTTGATAATAAAGATTTAATTTTTGGTTAATCTTTAACAAATAATTATGCATTACTAGAAACCATTTATTAACTAAAACTACTGAATTAAGATTAAATTAAATTTATTTCATTACTAGAAAGGTGATGAACAAATTTATGACAAGCTTTTATTTCTGTCCTCCATTTTTTGTTTTCAAAACATGGAGTTTTTAATATCTACAATTAGTTTCTTTATTATGATTGGTTAATTCCGTATAATCTGTTTCCTGATTTGTTCTTTGTTTAAGAATATAAATGCTATCGAAGTTACTACGTTATTATTCTCGTTGATTAATAATGATTACAAATGAAGAATTTTTAAATTTAACTTTTCAAGTAATAATAGAATTTATTGCTTTATATATTTATATATAAATTATATATATTTCTATAAATAAAGTTTCTCTAACGAAAATAAATATATAAGATAATTATATTATTGTTTTTAGACTTACTTCATGTATATTAACAATTTATTTTTACAATTTAATATTAATAGAATCATAATTTCGGTACTATCAGATGGTTCTTCATAAATTTATGAAACGCTATAAGTATAATAAAATCTATGTAATGCAAAACTACATGTTTGAAGTATCAATTATTAAATAATCTGTAACTAAATGATACACATTGGAATGTTGTCATTTTTGTTGCCTTGGACACTAATATCTTGAATTTTGGATTATTGACTTTAATTACAATAATTGTAGCTTTAGATAATATTAAATAAGTGTTTATACAGAAATATATGGGTGTATAATATTATAATGCTTAGCTAGCTTAATTAACATTAATAGGAATAATTGGATTAATATTATAAAGAATGATGGGTTTATTTGATCATTTAGCTAATTTTGTAGGATTGCGTAAGAAACAAGTGAATGTTTTAGTAGTAGGTCTTAACAATAGTGGTAAATCAACAGTGATAAATCATTTTAAGAATCAGAATGAGCGTTGTACAGATATAATTCCCACTATTGGATTTAGTGTCGAAAAATTTGCATGTAAGTAATTTATTAAAAAATATAAATTAATTATTTTACATCCATTCTTTTATTATCATATTATTTATTTTATAAGAAAATAAACTTTTCATGATAATAATATTCAAAAATAAATATTTTCATGAATTTTATTTTATTAAAATACATAAAATTGAATTAAACAGTGTATATATCTTGTTTCTAGTTTTAAATAATTATATTTAGAGTTAAACATATGATTGTATTGTGTAAACATATGTAAATTGTATTGGCTAATTTATTTTTAATTATTCAATTAAAAATTAATTAACTATATATATAAATAAATGATTTAATATCTATATGTACTTATATTATATATAGAATAAATTCTTAATCAATTGTTTATTGAAATAATTAAAAAATTTTTAAATAAAAAAATTATATAATTATTTATATATAATTTATTTCAAATGTTCTACATAATATTTTTTTCAATTAATTATAGTTCTGTTTAATTAAATAAATCTTTTATTATAGATATTGGTATTATAATAATCTTGTAATAAAGTTGTATTGTACTTGTATTAAATTGGAAAGTATTAAATAATAAAAGGCTATGTATATATTATTTCATAAATATTATTCTGAATTAACATGAATACTTGAACATACTACTATAAGAGAGCATGAACATTGCAGTAGAAATAAACATTTAAGTTTGTTAATTCAGTATATACATTTTATAAAGTCAATGATGTAATATAATAAAATATAAAATTAAGATCTGTTTATTAATAGCATTGTTTTAAATTATTAAAATAATTAATATAAATTAATTTTGAAGTGCTTGAACAACATATTTGTATATATTATTAATGTGAAAGCTTTATCTATTAAAAATTATCTAAATAGCCTATATAAAGGCTTATAAATAATAAAATAGATAATGTAAATAATATACTTATACTAAGTGATTGATTTTAAAATAAAAGACATGTTTATTATAAAATGAAATTTATATTATAAAAGTATTTGTATGTATTTTAGTCTATAATTGTCTAGAATAATCATTTCTTCGATCATTGAATTTGTTTTTTTCATAAAGTTGATCCATTTACTGATGAATATATTTTCTTATAAATAACTTATTACTCAATAAAATTTTGTTTACATTATGTTAAAATTAATATGTCTGAAGTATACATGTTTTTACTAGTTTCTAAAAGGTAAAGTATAAGGATATATAAAGTATAATTTAATTTAACAGAAAATTAATAGTAGTAACTAAGATTTTCGTATTAATGAATTAATTGTAGAATAGCTGTTTCAACTTTGCCAGATTTAAAAAATTTTACAAATTTGAATAAGCTTATTATGCGTATTTTAATTAGTTATTTACTCGAAAAGTTAAAATTAATATTTAATATTTCACATAGGCATCATTTAAATAAACCAAAAAGAATTAAACATAATTAGACATGCATTTCTTAAATTGTAATGTACTAAAGTAATTCTGTATATTAATTCCTGAATTTGAATTGTTTTATGGTTGTATTCTCATTTCTTTCATGTAGTTATTGTATAATAAATAAACAAAATCTTGTGCATTTCTATATTTTAAAGCAAATATTTAATCATTTTAAACTGTACGTAATTATATACCATATGAAGATTTTTCATAAAACAAAAAATCCTATTTTAAAAATTGAAATTATTGAATTCAAGATATTTTAATGTAATGAAAATAATATAAATATGTGGGTCAAATTTGACACTGTATTTTGGCTAAAAAAAATGCATAGGTATTTGTAACTGAATTGGAACAGTATTTGTTTTGAAAACAAAAGGCCATGGATTCAATTTTAGGATGTACAGTATTACGTGTTATTCTTTAGTTTCCAATACTTAATAACTTATACAATAGTTCGTATATTGTAAATATTTATTAGTATTTGATTCAATTAATATATTCACAATTATTTGACAGCTACAAAATACAAATGAAATTATTTATTGCAGTCAAAAATATCGGCTTTACAGCATTTGATATGTCTGGACAGGATCGGTATAGGTCGTTATGGGAGCATTATTATAAAGGCTGTCACGGTATCATTTTTATTGTTGATAGTAATGATAAACTACGAATCGTTGTAGTAAAAGAAGAGTTGGATATGCTTTTGCAACATCCAGAAATTGCAGGTATAATTATTGATCACTTGTGTATCAATTAAATTTAAAGAATGCTATGATTATTGCTTTTAAAATAAATTCGTAATAAAGTTTTTTTATATTAAACAAATTATGTTTATATTAATAACCATTCACGGATATGTAAACATAACACCAAATAAAAAGTATATTACTAATACACAAAAATATTAGTGTATCAAAGATTACTTTGTTTTCTTGAAGATAAAATTTGAAATATTCAGATTATAAATATACAAAAATTATAGATTGTAATTACGCAGCTATATAAATAGTTTCTTTAGATTATGAATGTTACTATAAACACTATAGAGTACTTGAAATAAGACTAATAAATGTTACTTGTTCTGTTCATGATACATTTAAAAGAAATATTCATAAGAACAATAAAAGATATTACAATCGTTACGTCGATTTAAACTTGTAATTAATATTTATTAAATTTACTTTAAATAAATTATGAATCTTGGTTATTAATAAATTCCTTTACACGCTGTTACTCTATTTTGTTTGCATTATTCACTATCAGTACATTGTTTATTTATATTAGACCGATTAGAAAATTAAAAAATATAATCATAATATCGGGAAATAAGTTTAGATAAATTTCCCCTATATTTTCAACTATTAAAATCGTCTAATAATTTAAATTATAGATTGTAAATTATTTTTTCTCATTTTTTTTTACCGTTTCAATTTTTATATTTGCCGTGTATATATCAATGCAATGTATTTTATATAAAATTATGTGGCATCTTTTTTCAATTCAAACTATGTAGAATAATATGATCTTAACTACACAAATTAATTTATAGAAATTTTTATAATATATTATGATAATTTTGTTAAAATTAAAATAAAACAAAAAAATATTGATGGAAAAAGAAATATGAAAGGAATATAACAATTATAATTAATAGTATACCATATTAGATAAATTCAAGAACTAGAATTCAGAATTTTTTTAACCTTAATAATTCACCTAAGGAAATAAACTTTGTTTATGCAAATTCGATTCTTGTTAGACTCGATAAGGATGTGGAAAATATGTTGACAATTATTACATCATTAAATCTTCAGTTACTATAAATAATAGTATTTCAAACACTCTGAATATTTACTATGATAATGTAGAATTTATCTCTATAATATTTAAAATACACTTTTAAATGTATTCATTCATATTTATTGCATATTAAGCGTTCAGATTTTGATTCTTTGTTATTTTAAATTACCAATATTAGTTATGGATTTTTTAATTTTATTCATTTCATTCTTTTCAAAATTTTTTATTTTCGTTATAGGGAGGGAAGGCGATCTACGATCGTCAGATGGGAGGATTCTTTTATTACTTTCCCCAATTCTGTGTCTACTTTGATTAGAGTTTCGAGAGTTGATTAAGTTACTTTTTGTATGAGTTTCAAATCCTGATCGGACTTTTCCATTAAATTTTCCAATGATGGATTGTTCATGGTGTCCTTTTTCATGAGTTATAATTTAAATTTACGTTTAAAACCATAGCATTTTATCGCAATTCTCGTTCGACGATATAAACTGTAGTTTTTAATACATCAAGACAAATTCGTATTATTTTTTTTAATTTAATATAAACTCCCAATGCAAATTTGATATTACTACTAATTATTAATATAATTATTATATTTATACTACTAGATATTAATACTACTACTACTACTAATAATAATAATAAGAATTATTATTATTATTATTATTATTATTATTATTATAGTATTAGCTATATCGCTATGTTTTATATTATATTATTCAATGCTGTATTAGAATTTATTATAACGATAATACAACGATATTTTATCTTGGTCCACAATAAAAAATTTGTATTAATTTATTCATACCTACTATTTAGATATACGAACTTTCGCAAAAGAAATGTTTGAAGTATTATATTATGATTAAACATAAAATGAAAAATTATGATTATATTTAAATGAATTACAGCTTCACCAAGTTTATGAAAATGGTTTTCAAATTATGGGGTACTTATATTACTATTTTATTATAATTTTGAAAAAAAAAACAAAAATATAAATCTAATTGAATCAAATATGAAAGTGAGTATTATATTTATATAAATGAATAGTGAACATTAGTCTTTGTTACTACTGTATTTAATACTAGTGATAGTATATTTACATCATGAATGTTTAGTGTCGTATAAAATTTTCTTTCCTCTTACTTAATTGAAATCCTAAACTCTTAAAAAAAAATATTTCAAATTTAATCTCATTTGTACTTACATTTATTAGATTTGATTAAATTAAAAATGTGATAATTGAAAAAATTATTGTTTTTGTTATCAAATCCTTTTTCATGAAACTTAAAATTAGTTAACCATTTGTAGGAAGTGTAAAATAAAAACTAATGATAAAATAATACAGTAAATTTTATAAAGAGAATGAAATTCAAAGTAAAAGAATAACTTAATTCATTAAATATAATTTAAAAACAATTATTTTTAAATTCATAATATAAACTATATAATGTGCTTAATAAATGAAGTAGCATTTTTTTAATGAAAATATTTTACTAATTAAAATTTTTGAAAATAATATAAAAAACCTAACATAAATAAAAATATGTTATTTATTTAAATTACATATTAATCATTATTTCCCAGGTCAAAAACTACCAATCCTATTTTTAGCTAATAAAATTGATCTACCAAATTCATTAACAACCATAAATCTTGTGACATGTTTGGGTTTAGATAAAATACAAAATAAACCTTGGCATATACAAGCTACAAATGCTATTACTGGTGATGGCTTGCAAACTGCAATTGAATGGCTAACAGATCAGATACGAGATATACACATCAATAGAAGATAGTAGTAATGTGCATTTATAAGTATTACAGAGATAATGAGTATTCTATTAAAAACAGTACCTTATAAACATGTTATTATTTAAAAGAAACAAATAATTAGAAAATATTAATATAAATTATTTAAAAATATTAAAATATTTATATTATAAAATAATTATATCAAATTATAGTTTTAAGGTCTTATTTATTTTCTTTTTTTAAACATACAATTAACTAACCTTTTTTTAACAAGATTTTTATAATTAAATAATGTTTTCATTTACTTTATAAAAATTATAAATATTCATACTTAAACTTGTTTCAATGTAATATGTAATATATATTTATTTGGTGAGTAATTCTAATAATATCTTAATGAATTTGGAAAATGAAAAATAAACGGTTTGTTTTAATTAGTTCATGGAAAAATGATTATTTGTATGTATATTTATATATTTATATATATATATATATATATACATAATATATGCATGTGTGATAAATAATAAAATTTATATATAACAATTTTTAAACTTAATAGCGCCACTATTTGCTTTTATGTTGATTATTGATTTAATTTTTTTCGCAACTATAATTTATTTTAAAATAATATATGATTACGGTAGTAAAACGAACAGCCTTTTTACTTAAAATACACAAATGCTATCATATACATATATATATCCAAGCTACTACTTGCTAATTATACACAATCGAGGTAATATTATTGTCATATAATACATGACAGAATATAAGGAATATTTTAGAAGTTTATTTAAACATAAAAAATAATATATATATATATATATTCATAACATGTAATTAAATAATAAAATATTGCACTATCTATGACAATAAACAAACTCCTGAGCATTGTAAGGAACCTCTATGATCATTTGAGCCTATGAAACTCAGGAGCTATGAAGGGACACAAAAGGATTCACCATATGATACTGATCTCGAAATAGCATGTTATTAACTGCAGTCAGGTTTGCAAAGATAAAAAACAGTTTTGTTGTTGACAAATAATTATTCCTTCCATCTTTTTATCTGTGAAAGTCATAAATATCAAAAAGTTACACAATTTTGAATTGGTAAACGAGACCGAATTATGAAAGGAATTAAGGCATTAAATAATCGTTTTATAAAAGTTTAAAGAGGATTTTAATATAATGCCTCAAGTTTCTAAATTTTCTCACATATAAAATGCTCTCTTAGATATATATTTATCGTTTGCATAATTTTTCAATAGTTTCATACAATTTTATTAACTAAAATTTTAATTCCAGAATAATGTAAATAATAATAATTTAAAAACAAATAATAAAATGTTATTTATGTTTTCTTAAATTAAAATAAATTACATAAAATTTCTTTATACCTTATAGTAACTGCATCTAATTTAAATATATAGTACATCATTATATTACTTCCAAATACTTTGATAAGTTACTACTTAAATTGTTTGCAAATTCATCAAGAACATGCTTTGAAATAGCCAAGCAATATACAATTCCAGTTTAATAAAGGTTTATGAAATTTTAATATTAAACTTATTACGAAATTATTTCTTTAATAAAACATTTCTTTTGTACCTTATTACTGATAGTAATAATGAAACGTACTGGACATTAGATTTTAGTTACATTTATTTTATATACTTTATATGTATAATTAACATAATATTTTGATTATATATTTTTTAATCTGTTAAATCTATGTATCAATTCTTTATCTTCAAAATTGAAGATATATGTGTAAGTAACTAACCTCTAATGTACTTTATTTTTATGAAGATTTTTAAAATTATGGATATTTATATATAATTCAAAAATTAAAAAAATCTTAATATTATATTCTTTTTCAATTTTCTAAAAAAGGTAGTTTAAACTTATTTATTTTGAATTAGTAATATAAAATCCTAAAGAAGTAACTGGCTTTGCCCATAACATAATTTATTTTGTAAATCAATATTATACTATATGACATCATACATGACGTCAATTGGAAAGATATTGCTTTCTTTAAGGCCATTGTTAAAATCAATAGGCAGAGTCAGTGATTAACTTTCATATTATGGTAAGAGTAATTTCAAAACAGTTTAAGTAATTGAAAAAAAAGTATATTAATGCATTAATTTGTAGCTAATAATAAATATACTAATTCATTTAAAATATGCAACACAAACGACTTTTTTTATCAATAACTGTATTTATGCTTATTTGTGAATTTGCAAAATGTTACACTGTAGAAAAATATTCTTTTCTTATGCCAAATGTGCAACCAAGCATCGTAAGTATTTTGTAATTTTATTTGGATTAATTTATTATTATTAAATTAATGTTATTAATTAAAGTTTAAAATTTTAATATTTGTCCATACATAAGAAAAACAATTGTTATTAATTAGAAATTTATATTGAATTATGTATTACAATGTGAGTTTATATATATTTAAAGGTTAGTAATATAGAGTTGATGTTGAATTATTGATAGTAAATATACTAAAATTGATATCTAAAATAAAAAAATTTTAACATAATTTTTATTTATTTTTAATAAATAACAAATTCAAATATGCTTTAATAATTATTAGAAATTACTTAAATAAAAAAGATAGAAAATAAATGATATTTAATTCTAAACAAAATGTAAATTATTTTTATTAGATTCTTATATTTATTAAATATTTATATATAATTTTTCAAAAATATTTCAGCGATTATGATAAAAATATACTCATATATTGTAATTCATGAACTAAATAACTATAAATTAGAGTTGTTTTATTTTTAAAATTTAAAGGTAATATAAATAATTTCCTAATTAATTTATACAATTCTCATTTTAGCCAGAATTATATCTTTGTAGTCCAGTAAAAATAGACAATGAAAATACTTACTATATTGTTGGATTTGAGCCGAATGCAACTATGAATACTGCACATCATATTATTTTATATAGTTGCTCAACACCAGGAAGTGCTGAACCAATATGGAATTGCGGAGAAATGTCATTTACTGAAAGTTTATTTATGACCATTGCTAGCCCATGTCAAGATAGTTCTGAAGTAAGTACTATACAATATTATTGTTAACAGGGGATAGCTATATTATATTTATAAAGTTTTTATAACATTTTTAGATTATTTATGCATGGGCTAGAGATGCACCTGAACTAATTCTTCCAGATAATGTGGGATTTAAAGTAGGAAAGGGTTCTCTTATAAAATATTTAGTACTTCAAATACATTATGCACATATCGATAAATTTAAGGATGGAACTACAGATGATTCTGGTATTACATTACATCTTACAAGGCAGCCTTTAAATAAATTAGCTGGTGTATATATATTAGGAACTGGTGGTGGAATTCCCCCTCACAGTGTAGAATATATGGAATCATCTTGTGAAATATCAGAAAACAAGACGATTCATCCATTTGCTTATAGAGTTCATACGCATAGTTTAGGAAAAATTGTATCTGGGTATGTCATTAGAAATAATAAATGGATAGAACTTGGAAAGCGTGATCCTCTTAAGCCACAAATGTTTTACAATATTCATTATAATGGAACAATAAAATATGGTGATAGATTAGCTGCTCGATGTACAATGCAAAGCGAGCTTGACACATGGACTTATGTAGGAAATACGAATAATGATGAAATGTGCAATTTCTATTTAATGTATTACGTTGAAAATGAAGAACCATTAAGTAATAAATTTTGTTTTAGTTCTGGTCCACCTAAGTATTACTGGCATATAGATGGATTAATAAATATACCTGATAGAGAAGCTTCTACATTGTAGAGAATTTGTTATACCATTAAATTATCTTTTATTTATAAAATATACATTTCAAATGATTAAATTATTAAAATGTCTGAAAATATGTGAAAACTAAAAATACATATTGATATAATATACAACTTGTAAAGATAAATAAACTTTGATTATTATTTAAAAAATACATAAAGAAATATGAAAAAACAAATATTCAAATAATTTAACTATCTGTTTCAATATTTTTACATAAGTAGAAATATAAAAAATTAATAATTGTAGTTATTTTTTATTACTTATGTACTGATTATACATATAATTAGTTTTTCAGTATGAATTCAGATTTATATATCAGTAACTAACATTGATAATTTTAATTATAATTATATAATATATTTAATAGTTAACATTATACATTGTAAAATTTGCAGAAGGAGCCTATATTTTTCTATATTTTTAGTATATTAATTGAAGTAATACTAATATTAAATTAATAAATAGTAATTCAATATATGATTATGTTATGTTGTCACTTAGTGTGTATTTTTTTTGTTTTTCAAATTTAATGGTGTAGATGTGCCAAGATATACTTAATTATATATGTATATAACAATTTAATATTTATATTTATTTTGCTATTTTAAATTCAATATTAGGTAATATATTATTTTTAAAAAAGCATTAAGATTTCGTATACAATATTATATAATTAAATATAATTTTGATTTAAAGATAAGATAAATAGTATAAAATTAGTACAGAAAAAGAATATACATTTATATATATTCTTCATTACAAAAATTCATATATATATATATATATATATATTAGAATTAATTAGAAAAATCTGATAAATAAAGAATTTAGAATTATTAGATTTACGTCTTAAGCATTTAATTAAAAAGAATTGCTATGTGTAATATTACTACTTATTCAATTGTCTCCATACTTTAATATTTTTTGCATTATTTCATACTACTTATGTTTGTGTTTATATTTATATATATCGATGATAGTAAAATAATATATCAGGAAACATTACATCAGATTCAAATATTGAAGATTTTAATAGTGTAGAAAAGTTAAATTTAATCTAACAAGGAAATGGTGGTGCCAAACCTTTAAAAATTTAGCAAATTTGCTATATTTTAAATGTATAGCAAATCTAATGAATTAATTAATATTTATTTAATAATTTCAATTTCTAATTACTTATAACCAATGTATTTTTACTTACTTTAGAGTCATAAATAATGTGTGTTAAAAAATTTTGAGGTTCTCAATGGTTGTGAAGAATGATAATGTATTTAAAACAAAAATTAAATCTGATAATAAAGTTGGTAATAATTAAATAATTGTTTTAAATAAAATATGATCTCATAAGTAATAGTTTTTTGATATTTTTTATTTTTGAATATATTTAACTGATAAAAGAAATATATGTCGTAATTAGTGAAATTGAAAGTTGATTTATAATCCCGATTTTACAAGTATGCGAAACTGTTTTATTTCCTGGCTCGAACTGCCAATGTTTCGATAGCTTTAATTTACCACCCACCCACCCTAGCGGGTGTTTGAGAAGGAGTTAAGTGGAAGGACAGTAAAGTACAGTGTGTGCTTCTTCGATAAATATGGTTTATTAAGGTTTATTTACAATTACATTATTAATGTGTTGAAATTATTCGATGGCAGGGTGTATCCTATATTCAATCACGAAGATGCCGTTGCTTGGAACTGTTTCTGTGGTGCATGGTTTATCCACCCGAGATGGTCCTTGATTATGGTGATGTTGTAATTTTGTAAAAGTCAGCAACTTATTATGCACACTCCTTATTAGTGAGTATGATTTGTGCTATCAATAATAGCGTCATGCTAGTCTTGCAAGGACTAGCAATAATTATGAATACTACTTAGAGTATTGGTTTGCTATGTTTATAATAGTGTCATGCTAGTCTTGTAAGGACTAGCAATAATTATGCACAGACTTTGTTAACTCACAGTGATGCGGCAGCCTTGATCTGATCCTGTAATGAGTAGTTCACCATTACGAATGCTCCTTGTTGATGGTGATAAATTGTTGCTGATTTTGCAAGGATCAGCAATGATTATACACGCTCCTAATCAGGGAGTATGTCTTGTGTCGTCTGGAGTTTTCTTGATATGAAGGAGAAGTGTCAACACCTTTTAATTATAGCACAGAAGAATCGATGCGTCTTCCTTCTATCGTGGTGAGTAGCTTGCTGGCCGACTAGTCTTTATGGGTGAATGGCATGTTGATTGCGTCAATGACTGAAAGTCTACTGGTGCGCTTGTCCTAAATAATCACGCGGCAGCTTTGTTAGCTAACAAGAAAGGGGCCGATCATGGCGCTAGAAACAATGGACGTGCACTTGTATCATTTCGGATGTATCGGCTTTTCCAAATCTCCAATGACCGTTGGATATTATTCTTAGAAGTTATGACCGTTGAATTATTTCCCCGAAATGTTAATAGTTCAGGTTTTTCCTTGAAATGATAGCTGTTGGGATTTCCCCCCAAATGATAACATTCGAGATATTCTCTGAATCTCGAATAACAAGGAACTTTAAAAATTATAGGAAAATACAAGTAAACAGCGTTAAATTAAATTAATTAAATTAATTAAAATCCATTGATGTTAAATTATAATAGTGTTTTCTTACTATATTCGTTCATTCAGAATCCAATGTCGAAAGATCAGAATTCGAACACAAATATATAATAGCAATATTTCAATTTCAGATGTCATACTTGAAAATTAATAATATTTTACATGTACAATTACCAATCTTTCTAATTTGCACAAATAATTTGATTTTAAAATGAAAAGAAAATCTCTCGAATTATATTTACTAGAAAAACTTTCAAGAGCTGATAAAAGAGAATTATCGAACGGATACAAAAAACTAAGAAAGTCTCGCCAAGGTTGCATGAGACTCGAAAAGGTTTCTACATCTGTGAACTCGTAAACAGCAATTTATTGCCTTTCGTGCTACAGACGTAGTAATTGTTTTGAATGCAATGAAGATCCTTGCGACTTACTATCAAAACCCGGCCAGCCTGTTTACGCGAGAATATTTTAAGGCGTAAGATATTTGAAAACAATCGAGTGAAAAACATTTCTTAAAATCTATTGCAAGTACGACAAATGTTGCTGCTTGCATAGGCCAAGCGAAGACGCTTGACCAAAAATCACTCCCACCACGATGAGTCCCTTTGAGGGGCAAATCTTCCACTTCATGCATAGACGCCAGAAATACCCCTTCAAAATTCTCATTGTCTAAGCCTAATTTCTTATGAAGTGGGAAAAGGGCGGGCACATTCATCATGCCGCCGAAAAGCGGCGCGCCCTGATTGGAAAACTAAGACCAGAAGCTCCTTGAGTGAAGACTCATGGCAAGAGGCCTTAAAGATGGGAACAAGGCAGCGAAAAGTCGCTGTCCGCGGCGGACAATTGGAACACGCTGTTCGCGTGGACAGCCAAGTACTGTTTCGTAAGAAAAGGGCTCGCGTAGGCAGTCAAGAGTTATCTTAAGGAAAGTCAAGTAATAGAAAATAATTGTCCATAGAAGCCAAGTCTAAAATTCACTCAGCGCAGAAATAAATGTTAGTAATTCAGAGCAAGACTACTGCATCCTGGTGAGTATAAGTGCAATTGTGTCCAACTCACCGTTGGATCAGATCAAAACTATTGCATCCCTGTGAGTATAAGAGTCACGTCGCACGCATTTGCTCTGCCACGTGCAATTGTGACCAACTCATTCTTGGATCAGATTTAAACTACGATATCGCTGTGAGTACATTAATATACGTTATCTATTCAATTATTGTCAGCCGGCAGCAAAACCGGCATAAGACAACCATCAACATCATCTCACACTCTCTGACAAGAAGTGTGTAGTAATTATTTACCTATGCAATTTTCATCAATTCAACGATTTCAAAACATCTTGTGTAGTGATTCATCCTATATAAGAAGCCGTTCAAGAAATCGTATCTTCATATAAGAGTCAAGAAGATTCTACAACACCCATATGTAAATTGTGTAATAAATTGTATAATAAATGATAATTAACCAACTTTCACGACTCTTGTACAGCCCCTTCATCTCACTCCTTCCCGAGCGTCTGCTAGGGCGGGCGGCAAACTAAGCTATTGAAGCATTGGCAGTTCGAGCCAAGAATTACATCACTATAATTTCGAACAATGGTCATAAATTTATATATTTGCAGCAAGTAGCGAATATTTATGAATATTGTTTACAAGACAAGGAATGATTACATTGTTTGTGTTGTTGATTAGTTGATTTTTATAGACAGACAAAAAGAAAAATATAATAGTAAGAAAATGTTATAATATTTTACAACTATTAAATAAAAATATTAAATATTATTGTATCGACGACAAAATTTAATTATTAAATTCAATTTATTTAAAGTTTACTGTTAAATAAGAATTTTAGGGAGTAGGAATAGTTATTAATTTTACTTATACATTAATTTGTCGAGTCCGGGATAAGAAATGCTGGGACCTCGATGTTTGAATAGTTGAAGTTGAAAATTCTTGAGTGTTTCTGGGTTGAAAATCCTCATATTAAATCTATAAGTGTATTCTTGATAGCCTGGAGCGTGATTCCCCTTCTCCTTATGAGTTGAGTAGTTGTAGTGGGAGACTCGAGCTGGTAGGGGCAGCGAGTTGGTGCCGCCTTAGCCGCCGGTGTAGGGTGAGCGCTGTAGTAGTGGGAGGATGTCCGTGTTACGTCATTGCTTGAATGAGTGAGAGATTCACTCGCATCGGTGTAACGCAATGTCGATAGTGTGCGGTACTTACATGAGCGTGAGTAGCTCTCTTATACCTATAGTGGTGAGTGACGTTCGTGATGCGTTGCTGCGTAAGTGTTTGTGAGATCAGATGTAGTTGTGGTATTGGTGCACGTTCGTGATGTGTTGCTGCTTACATAGTTGACAGGAGCCAATGTGTTAGTAAGACGTAAGAACGAGCGAAGTGGCGTATTTTACGTGCAGGCTGGATCCGATGAGTAGAATGGCGATCCTGTCGTGATGAGTGCTTGATTGAA